CCTGAGTTCCACGTCGACTCTTCGAATCTAAGCTTGGATTTGAAGAAGCAAGATGTTTCAAGAAGCCGATCCTACTGTAGCTTTGTTGTGGACGCCAAACTTCAAGGAACATCTATGCAGCGTAACAATGGCGAGATGAGGCGGGTGCTACATTTAAGCAGCACGAAATTCAATGTCGATCTATTCCCAGAAAGCGCTGCACTGCTAGTTGACTTAGCTGCTCATCTCCAAGAGCGCATCAAGACCTTGGACCTCTCCCATGAAGTGAAACGATTTAAGAAGCTACGGCGTCGGGGACATGCAGAACCGGAACGAACATCCTTGGAAGTTCCTCGGATCCAGGTAGACGATGCCAGTTCGTCTGATGAGCTCTTCAGTGCCATTTATTCCTTGGACTTTCACAATATTCAGCTTGGATGGAACATGATGACGATGTCTTCTGCGATACCAGAAAACAAGCTGGCTGATTTGGTATTCTCTATTAAACGGGTTGAGTTGTCAAACAAGAAGACAAATGCTGCCAAGCTCCGAATCGAAGACATGCAGTTACAGATGGTACCTGTCCATGGTAACCGGCAGAAGCGCTCACTCAACTCGGCCCTTTTGCCGGAACTGGTTTTCAACGTTGCATACGCTTCCGTGGGCAAGGAAGTTCGATTGGCCTTTCAGGCTGCTGGAAAGTCATTGGATCTGCGAGCTACCTCGGAGTTCATACTTCCGGCCAGCATGATACGTGATTCGATTGCCTCTGCTGTCCGGACCATAAGGGAGGCCAATAACATCCTGGTCTCGAAGCCATCCGGAGATAGCGTGAAACTCCGTCCCATCTTTGGAAACAAACGCTTCCGGTCTGTGCTAATTGACGTTGACTTCGCTGGAGCCACTGTATCCCTGCAAGGGAGGCATACAGAGGATCAACAGACAATGCTGACTGCAAGTTTGAAGGGGAACCAACTTCCTCAGTCAGGATATGGTCAATATGTTCATGGAGATGGCATGGCCACGGCGACTTTCAAGGCCCCAGGAGTGGCACTGAAAGTGCTATTCGAGGATAATGGCCGTGAGGACCCGGCTCTTAACGCGGAAATAAAAGTCGATGCGTCCACGAATGTGCTTTATCCTAGCCTCGTTCCTTTGATCAAGCAGGTAACAACGACTGTCAAAGAGGTCATGGGAGATCATCCAAGGGCCAGACGGCCTTCGAATGCGGTGATGCTACAGTCGCAGAAGCTGATGTCAGAAACCCCGCTTGCAAATACAGATCCGGGATCAATTCTTGGCCGTTGCAAGTTGAATGTTGGGATCTTGATTTGCAGGCAAGAGTTCAGCTTGAGCTGCCAACCCATAGCTCGTGTGGCAGCCACTACGCAATTTGACAGCGTCTATGTTACGATCAATACAGTGCAGTCGAACGAGCAGGAGCGGTTCCTTGCTCTCCTGGTGGCTTTCAATTCCTTACAAGCATCAGTGAAGCATGTCTACTCCAATGAATCGACTGCGAGCTTTGAAGTGAAGTCTATGGTCATGTCAATCATGAATAGCAAACATCTGGGAAGTTCAAAAGGCATTTCAGCCGTTCTTCGAGTCAGTCCCATGAATGTTGCACTCAATGCAAAGCAGGTGCAGGATCTATTACTATTCCGCGAGATTTGGTTCCCGTCCAACGATGAGATAAGTCCCGGGCCTGCTTTCCAGTCGCAATCGCAGGACACGCAAGCCTATATTGTACAGAGGTACCAACAGGTTGCAGCAACCCCTGCCTTCCCTTGGAATACCACGATCGCAATTGAGAAGCTGGAAATACAGCTTGACTTGGGATCTACTTTGGGCAAGGCGCAATTTGCAATCAATGACCTCTGGTTGTCGACCAAGAAGACATCTGATTGGGAGCAAATCCTCTGCGTCAGCTTCCACACAGTGGGTATTGAGAGCAAAGGCCGGATGAGCGGGCTCGTCGAACTACAGACTTTCAAGATCCAGACCTCGATCAACTGGCCCCACGATCAGCAAGACAACAGAACCCCACTCATTCAAGCGTCCATATCCTTTAATCAGCTGGATGTGAAAGTCTCCTTTGATTATCAACCTTTCCTCATCGCTCACATCTCTCGGTTCGCGTTCTTTATGTACAATGTTCGCCCTACGGCCGATGCGCCCAACGAGCGGCTTTTCAGCATCCTCGATGGAGATCAGGTGCAGGTGTTTTGCACCAGTATGACTGCCTCCCAAGCCTTGGCTCTCTTCCAGGCTTGGCAGCGACTGGTTCAAGATAAGCAAGCAGCGTACGAAGCATCTCTACAAGACATCGAGCGGTACCTGCGTCGGAAGACCTCTGTGTTTTCGGAGAAGACCGAGACAAGCTCACGTGAGATTTCCAAGCCCGCTAAGAAGGAAACGGAAGAAGCACCCATTTCACTGCATACCGGAGTGGTGGTCAGTATCAACGTGGTCACCATGGGCGTCTTCCCGCGCTCATTCTTCGACAATCATGTCTTCAAGCTGGAAGCACGGGACGCCCAGGCTCGGTTTGATGTGTCACTCGACCAGGGCAAGATCCATAGTGCATTGGGTCTGACCTTAGGCCAGCTGCGGGTTGCTCTATCCAATGTTGTTCGTTCAGGCTCCATGGATGCAGACGAGCTTCTACTTGTCAGTGAAGTTGGCAATCGTGTCACTGGATCCCGAGGAGGCACGATCCTCAAGGTGCCGCGACTGGTGGCTCGGATGGAGACCTGGCAGGTGCCAGGATCCCACCAGATCGAATATATCTTCCAAAGCACGTTCGAAGGCAAGGTCGACGTCGGATGGAACTACTCCCGCATCAGTTTCATCCGGGACATGTGGGAATCGCACTCGCGCGCGCTGGCCTCCCGGCTCGGTAAGCCGCTGCCTCCGTCCGCGGTGCGCATCACGGGGGCGCTGAATGCCGATGGGGGCGGCGGCGGCGGCGGCGGCGACAAGAACGAGTCGCAGGAGAAGATCACGGCGGTGGTCAATGTGCCGCAGTCGAAGTATAGCTATGTGGCGTTGGAGACGCCGGTGATCGAGACGCCGCAACTGCGCGACATGGGCGAGGCTACCCCACCGCTGGAGTGGATTGGGCTTCAACGGGACAAGCTGCCCAACATTACTCATCAGATCATCATTGTTACCCTTCTGGAACTGGCGAAGGAGGTGGAGGATGCATATGCAAAGATACTGGGGTCGTCGTGATGCCATGCAGCTTTTCCTTATGCTGTGACTTATGTCGAGGCTGTGCGTGAACCGGTGTTGGTCTTACCTATCTGTGCTGGACAATTGGCTGCGGGGAGAAAGGACATGCTTATTGGTACGTGCCTTTCGCTCAATTAATCACTTTAGACTGTATATAGAACTTTTTTGTATCTCTAGCGTACAAGTAATGTATATACTAGCTTAACAATAACCGGTGTTGATCTGTGAAGGAGAAGAGATGTCCCATCCGTTGACTTAGTGGCTATTGATAGAACGATTCATAATGCCTGAGGCACCGAAACAGGTCGGAGGAAAGCGGCACAAGGTGGAAGACGCAGATTGTGGTAACCACCGGCCGGGGCAGGCTAGGCTGTATGATCATGATGGGTGTACAGTACGGTTGCTGTACGGAGGAGAACTGCTGCATCCAATGCATGCACTCCCCGCCATCCTTAACTCCGCCACCCAATTGTCGGCGAGGCGGTGAACATGGAGGGGGAAGTTTGCCTGTTAGCGACTCAGTGCCCATGAGGGGCATTACCATACCATACCGTATACTACCTACTACCTACTAGCTAAAATTCCTGCTTCATCCGAACAATAATCGCTACAATGAACTGACCTACAGTGCAGCAAGTCAGGATGATAATAATGATTGAATGCATGAGTGGCAGAAGTACCTAGTGTGTCAACCACTTCCACTTTCACTGCCACTGCACCTTTCGCCTCCAATAAGACCACTCCCACTCGCCTGATACACGATGGAGATTTTTCCTCCGTGCTATACGTCAGACTAGCAGTCAGCGGCAAATCATCGAAGAGCTCCATCGGCCCAGCATCTACGGTCCAACCAGAGCAGACACAGCTCCGAAATCATGATATCAACCCAAGCCTCCAGGCTGGTTTTTCTTGCCACCACCCCGGGAGAGAAGCATCCATTTTGTGTACTGGATCTTTGGGTAGGTCGGGAGTTTAATTGTGTGAGAGTAAGAAGTGCAGTGCAGAGCACAAGAGCTGAGCTGAGCTGAGCAGAGCTGAGCCGAGCTATGATAGCTCACGTAGCTGATTTGTAGAGGGGAAATTGTAACCATGGTCTGCTCTGATCCTTGCTATAGGAGAGACTCTATCTACTCGTACAATGTACAGTACTGTGGTAGTCACGGGTAAGCAAGTATAGCCAGCCCAGCCCGTGCAAGCCTGTCGGGAGACGATAGAACTATTTCGTACGGAGAAAGAACTGCCTGAATCCTCGGGTGTAATTCAATGGGCAAGATGACTGACTGACTGACTGGATGACTGACTCCCTTCTCTGTGGTCATTAGAAATAACAATCATCTCCTCTGACTCTTCCGTGAGTGCCTTCTGATGGTCCAACTCCATGGAATGGTGGATGGAAGGATATGGAGGATAATGATGATGGCAAGAGAGCGGGCACCCAAAAGGGATATGGTATGGTATGGTAGGAAATATTAAACATGTACCAATTACCAACCGGACAGTATTATTACCACCTCGTGGTGGGGGGGCCACCACCCGCCACCACCCACGTTGCTCGGATCAAAACGGTCACAAAACGAGGGGCCGGGCAAGTTGACCAGCAGGAAAAAAAACGCACATCCCAGATTTGAAATCGGCCACAAAAAATCCCACCAGCAAAAGAAAGAAAAAAAAATACTCTGCAAGCCCCACCAGCCGCCCTCTCGCTTTCCTCCCTCTTCATTTCCCCTCTTTTCTCCTCCTCTTCCCTTTTCCCTCTCTTTTTCCTTTCCTCACCTTCCGCCGTGAAGCCATCATTCTCTCCCTCTGTTAAAGGAGTTTCTTCGCACATAGGTCCTTTTTGTCCTATTATTCACAGGTCGAGCTAGCTCTCGATCGTGACCCTTGTGTGTCGTTTCTTCTTTTCCCTTTTCCCTCACATATCCAACCCCGCCTCTACGGCCTTGATCTGAAAAATCAGTCAAGATGGTTAAGTATGTTGTCCTTATGCTGCTGCTACCCATCTCCCCGTTCCCCGACATCGATCCCATCATGAATGATCCGTTTAAGGATGGGGATGGTTGTTGTTCGAGATGAGAATATCATGAGAATATCATGCTAACAATGTCCTGTATAGCTTCACTATCGAAGAGGTCCGTTCAGACAAGACACCCCCGCATCCGCTTGCATGATCCTATCTTGCAGTTGGGGAAGATGATGGGAAAACTCTGTGCATGAGAACTAACACCATGTAGATCCGCGGCCTGATGGACCGTCCGACCAACATTCGGAACATGTCCGTCATTGCCCACGGTATGTATTGAACTCACCACCAAGTATCAATTGTTGGAAGTGGAATGCTGACAGACCTTCCGTCTCTCAGTCGATCACGGAAAGTCCACCCTTTCCGATGCCCTGGTCCACCGTGCCGGTATTATCTCTGCCGCCAAGGCTGGTGAGGGTCGTTACATGGACACCCGTCCTGACGAGCAGGAGCGTGGTATCACCATCAAGTCCACTGCCATCTCCCTGTACGCCAAGTTCGATGATGAGGAGGACCTCAAGGAGATCCCCGGCTGCAACGGTGGCGAGTTCTTGATCAACTTGATCGATTCCCCCGGTCACGTTGATTTCTCCTCCGAAGTCACTGCCGCTCTCCGTGTCACTGACGGTGCCCTCGTCGTCGTCGACTGTGTCTCCGGTGTCTGTGTCCAGACCGAGACTGTCCTTCGTCAGGCCCTCACTGAGCGTATCAAGCCCGTCCTGATCATCAACAAGGTCGACCGCTCCATGCTCGAGCTTCAGATCTCCAAGGAGGACCTCTACCAGTCCTTCTCCCGTACCATTGAGTCCGTCAACGTCATCATCTCCACCTACCACGACCCTGCTCTTGGTGACGTCCAGGTCTACCCCGACCGCGGTACCGTTGCTTTCGGTTCCGGTCTCCACGGCTGGGCCTTCACTGTCCGCCAGTTCGCCGTCAAGTTCGCCCGCAAGTTCGGTGTCGACCGCAAGAAGATGCTTGAGCGTCTGTGGGGTGACAACTACTTCAACGCCAAGACCAAGAAGTGGACCAACAAGGCCCCCGAGGGTGGTGAGCGTGCCTTCAACCAGTTCATCTTGGACCCCATCTTCAAGATCTTCGCTGCCATCAACAACGACAAGAAGGACCAGATCCCCACTCTCCTCGAGAAGCTCGAGATCAAGCTCGCCAACGACGAGAAGGAGCTCCAGGGCAAGCAGCTCCTGAAGGCTGTCATGCGCAAGTTCCTTCCCGCCGCCGACGCCATGTTGGAGATGGTCTGTATCCACCTGCCTTCTCCCGTCCAGGCCCAGAAGTACCGTGCCGAGACCTTGTACGAGGGTCCCAAGGACGACGCTGCCTGCGTTGGTATCCGCGACTGTGACCCCAAGGCTCCTCTGATGCTGTACGTCTCCAAGATGGTGCCCACCTCCGATAAGGGTCGTTTCTACGCTTTCGGTCGTGTCTACTCCGGTACCGTCCGCTCCGGTCTCAAGGTCCGCATCCAGGGTCCCAACTACGTCCCTGGCCAGAAGACCGATCTCTTCATCAAGAGCATCCAGCGTACCATCCTGATGATGGGACGTTTCGTCGAGCCCATCGAGGATGTTCCTTGTGGTAACATCGTCGGTCTGGTCGGTGTTGACCAGTTCTTGCTCAAGTCGGGTACTCTTACCACCGATGAGACCGCCCACAACCTTAAGGTCATGAAGTTCTCCGTCTCTCCCGTCGTCCAGCGCTCCGTTGAGGTCAAGAACGCTCAGGATCTGCCCAAGCTCGTCGAGGGTCTCAAGCGTCTGTCCAAGTCCGACCCCTGTGTCCTGACCTACATCTCCGAGTCCGGTGAGCACGTCGTTGCCGGTGCTGGTGAGCTCCACCTCGAGATTTGCTTGAAGGATCTCGAGGAGGACCACGCTGGTGTTCCTCTCCGTATCTCCGACCCCGTCGTCCAGTACCGTGAGACCGTCAGCGGCACTTCCAGCATGACTGCCCTGTCCAAGTCCCCCAACAAGCACAACCGTCTCTACCTGACTGCCCAGCCCCTTGACGAGGAGGTCTCCCTCGCCATCGAGGCCGGCAAGATCAGCCCCCGTGACGATTTCAAGGCTCGTGCCCGTATCCTTGCTGACGAGCACGGCTGGGATGTCACCGATGCCCGTAAGATTTGGTGTTTCGGTCCCGACACCTCCGGTGCCAACTTGCTGGTTGACCAGACCAAGGCCGTCCAGTACCTCAACGAAATCAAGGATTCCGTTGTCTCCGGTTTCCAGTGGGCCACCCGTGAGGGTCCCGTTGCTGAGGAGCCCATGCGCTCCATCCGCTTCAACATCCTTGATGTTACTCTTCACGCTGATGCTATTCACCGTGGTGGTGGTCAGATCATCCCCACTGCTCGTCGTGTCCTGTATGCTGCTACCATGCTTGCCGACCCCGGTATCCTGGAGCCCATCTTCAACGTCGAGATCCAGGTTCCCGAGCAGGCCATGGGTGGTATCTACGGTGTCCTTACCCGCCGCCGTGGTCACGTCTACACCGAGGAGCAGCGCCCTGGTACTCCCCTCTTCAACGTCAAGGCCTACCTGCCCGTCAACGAGTCCTTCGGTTTCCCCGGAGAGCTCCGTCAGGCCACCGGTGGTCAGGCTTTCCCCCAGTCTGTCTTCGACCACTGGTCTGTCCTTCCTGGTGGATCTCCTCTTGACGCCACCACCAAGCCCGGTCAGATCGTTGCTGAGATGCGTAAGCGCAAGGGTCTCAAGGAGCAGGTTCCTGGCTACGAGAACGTAAGTTTTTTCTATTCTATCATGATTTTGGATTCCATGCTAATTCTGTCTGCAGTACTACGACAAGCTGTAAACACGTTCCAAGCAAGCCGACTAGGTTTCAAGTCTGTGATGGTTGGAATCCTATTATGAGATTGACGAACGCAATACCCTGTCTACGTTGAGGGGGAAGGAAAATGAAAATGAGGTGAAACAGCTTAATGTCGTATGTGGATTGTCGAATACCTAGAAGTAGAATCCAGGTGTGCACGAGCATTGCTTTGGCTTTTTTATTACGTTTACGACTGCGTGAGCTTTTCCAATAGTTCAGTTGCTGTCCCATAGTTGGACATTAAAATATGAGATGGCAGTTCAAGTTCAATTCTGTGTTATTAGAACAATCGTAGGTGTAGCCCCTCTGAAGGTAGCCTGTAGACTAGTTTTTCGTCAGAATCAAGCAACTGGCGGGCTCTCGCAGGGCAGTCACGTGGTATTCTGTCATCCGCGTCGCTCGCGTTTCCCCGGCTTTTTCGAACCGCCAGGCTTTGTCGAATATCTATCGAAGCCTTACTACCAAGCCATGGTTTGATCTGTCGTTCGCATCGCTTTCGTCCCATCACTCTTGCAGTCGCTGGATAGTGTCCCTCCCTTGCAACCTCTTTTCGAGTTCCTCGGTTCCAACTCTCGGCGTCAAACGGCGAGGACGGACGCCTGCCTGTTTGATTGTCTCAAGACCTTCGAGCCACAAGCCTCTCTCTTTGGTGACAATCGGGCCAAGATCGCCGACCCTACCCGACATCATGCAACTTACCGAGAACGAGGCAGCGGAGGTGAAGAAATGGGTTGTCAGGAAGCTAGAGGATATGTAAGTGTTGTCTCTGTCCGCAAAGAGGAACCGCCACGGCTTTGGGCGCCAATCTGCCTTGTCCGCGCGCGCGCGTTCGCTCGAATTTACACTCGAAGACTAACGTCTCGTCGCTTGCCAGCTCTGATGCCGATTCCGATGTACTTGCCGACTATGTTCTGGCGTTGATCAGGACCGATGCTCCCGACGAGGATATCCGGAAAGCTTCGGTGGATAACTTGGAGGATTTCCTCCGTGAACGTTAGTTCTTTTTTTCTTTTTTTTTTTTCCTTTGCGCTATCGGCTTTGAGATGAGATGGTTTTATTGTGTGCTCGGTTGGATGAGTACATTTTGCTGACGTTCTCTGTTATCTTCGGGTAATGTACAGACACGGTGAAATTCGTCGACGAGCTCTTCGCGACCTTTGCCTCTAAACCGCAACCCGCTGCTGCTGCCCAATCGTCATATGCGCAGGGCCAGTCGCAGGATGCGCCCGCTCCTCAGAACCAACAGCAGCAGCAGCAGAACCAGCAGCAGCAGCAACAGCAACAACCGAGTGCATTCAATCCTCCGACTGGTCCTTCAAAGGGTCCCTTCGGAGCACAGCAGATGGGCAACAATTTCTCCGGACAAGCGCCGGGTGGTGATAACCAGCACAATTTTAACCGCAAACGTACGTTCCAGGAGGGCTTTCAGATGGACGTGGACCGCGAAGAAGTCCCGCAGAATCGCAATTACAAGACTCCCCGCCGGGGACGTGGTGGTGGCCGAGGGGACTGGATGGGTGGCAGGGATGGCCGCGCAGGAGGGCCCGGGCAACAACAACCACACACCTTCAACCCTCAAGCCCCGGGATTCGTGATGCCCCCTACGTTCCCTCCGTTCGATCAGAACGATCCCATGGCGGCGATGATGGCGCTACAGAGTATGGGTTTCCCCCAGATGCCGGGAATGCCGCCGATGCCGATGCCACCTGCGGGCGCTGGGCAGCAGCCGGGTGAGATGGTGCCGAAGAGCTCGGAGCGGTGTCCTTTCTACGAGACGCAGGGGATCTGCTACCTTGGGACTACGTGCCCGTACCAGCATGATACTGCTGGCGGAGCGTCCAAGACGGATGGTATGTATTTGACTTACCTTCTAAACGGCGTGCGTGACTTAGGACTGATTTTGTGGGAGGCGCAGAATACGATCCCAAGTCTTCGAGCATTGTTACGGACTACCAGAGACGATCGGATGGGCCGCCTATGCGGGGCGGGGACCGCGGTCGTGGCCGTGGCCGTGGCGGCGACAGAGGTGGATTTGGCGGCCGAGGACGTCGGTCTGAGTTCTCCTCTGCCGGTCCCAACGAGGATACGTCGATCACGACGATCGTCGTGGAGCAGATCCCCGATGACAAGCTCGACGAGGCGACGGTCCGGGAGTTCTTCTCGCAGTACGGCGAAATCGCGGACCTGTCGTTACAGCCACACCGGCGACTCGCGCTGATCACCTACGAGAACCACGCGGCGGCCAAAAGCGCCTGGTCCAGCCCGAAGGTGATCTTCGATAACCGGTTCGTCAAGGTCTACTGGCACAAGCCCAAGGGCGACCGGAATGGGGACTCCCGGCCTCACCATCACGCCGACGCGGGTGGCGGCGACTCGGAGGGCCCGGCTTTCAACCGGGAGGAGTTCGAGAAGCAGCAGGAAGAAGCCCAGCGCGCCCACGAGGAGAAACTCAAGAAACGCAAGGAAACCGAAGAGGCCAAGCAAGCCCTGGAACGACAGCGCGATGAGTTGCTTAAGAAGCAGCAGGAGGAGAGACAGCGACTGATGCAGAAACTCGGCGGCAGCGGCGCCGCCAGCAGCAGCAATGGCGACGCTACCGGTGGTGGCGGCGCGTCTTCCGACGGAGGAGATGGCCGGTCCCCGTCGGCGCAACCGGAGCATGTCAGCGAGCAGACCAAGCAGCTTCGGGCGCAACTGGCCGCTCTGGAGGCCGAGGCCAAGAGCCTGGGGATCGATCCTGCTGCTGGTGGTGGTGCTTCGGGGCCGGGCTACCGCGGCCGCGGCCGAGGCGGCTACGGCCGAGGTGGATTTGCCCCTCGTGGCCGGGGCGGCTACGATCCCTACTATCGGGGCGGTGGTGGCTACCGTGGTCGTGGTGGCATGGCCGGTCGTGGCGGTGTGCTCCGGCTGGATAACCGACCCAAGCGCGTGGCTGTCTCCGGGGTGGAGTTCAACTCCGAGAAGGACGAAGCCTTGCGACAGTTCTTGATTGTAAGTATTCCTCCTCAAGCTGTGCACAGTCATCCCATCTGGTCATTCTAGTTACTTACGTCATATATAGGGCGTCGGCGAATACTCCTCCATCGAACCCAACCCCGACCAGTCCGACTCCCTCATCGTGGCCTTCAAGGAACGCTACCAGGCCGAGAAGTTCATGTTCGGCCCCCGCGACATCCCGTCCGTCGGCCAGGTGGAACTAGCCTGGGTGCCCAACCCGCCCATCTCGTCGTCCTCTCTTCCTCAATCTGGCGGTGGTGGTGGCTCCGACGCCAACAAGACCGGCTCGGACGAGGATACGTTGATGGACACCGCGCCGATTGCGTCGGGGGTGCCAGATCAGAGCTCGGGCCGGAAGGACGGGGGCCATGACGTGGATTATGATGTTGCGGAGATGGACGATAGCTGGGGGGTGGAATAATTTGACCGGTTGGTGTTTCGATAGGGTAGTCGATTCGAATTTATGTTCTTAGATGGGAGCATTTAGCTTTGAGCTGAGTTGATACTCTGAAATGTGGGTTACGTTTTGGGGAGACAAAATATGAAGACATTTGAGCCCTTTGTTTGAATGTGAACAGACGAATCTAGATGGGTGGTTGTAGCTGTTGCTGCAACTTGAGAGAATTGAGAACCTTCTTCCAGGCCTCTATTGCAGAGGCTGTCTCAATGCATATCCTGCTAGCTATATCGGGCAAGTTTATGTATGATAGGGCAAGGATAATTGATGTTTGTTAAGATATAACCTGTGTTACATGGTAGAGAAAGTAACCATGCTAGGGCTGTATATAATCTATCACAATGGACTTGCACAGTGACAGACAGACACTCCGAAGGCATCTTACCAACTGCCTTGGGCTGTAAATACCCGATCCCTGCCCATCGAAGCCATTCAGGAGTCAAGTCAATTTTTCAGTCAATGTTCAGTCACCATGTAGTAGTCTAAGTAACTTAGTTGGACCCAAGCACATGCTTAGTCACAACAGGATAGTTAACTCTTTAATCAGCCAGACCTAACTAACTAACCAACCAACTAACTAAAAGGGCAATCCATGTGCCAATACACAAGGTAGCTCTTCATTCACCTTCTTCTCCCCGATATCGAGTATACCTCAACTACCAGCGAATCTCCCACCTGCTCTCAATGCACTTCATCAGCAAAGCACTGCGCAGGACCCTCTCTCGCCATGGCCCCCTTTATCCCACCCACCACGAGATAAAAGTGCTATCAACCCTCTATCAGCACGCAGGGACTACATCCCCCAAAGTCGCCGTCACACGCACCACCTCCCGGCCTCATCCAATCTAGACCCGAACCCCGAGAGTAAGTACCACCGACTCCGACTCTACGGGACCGAAGATCTCGTCACCGGACTCGACACCCTGCTACATCTCCTCCGTAACCCGGCCGCGGCGCAGGATGTCCGCCATCTAGAGGTGCATGGAGCTCGCCAAGTGACAGATCGCGAAGACCCAGATATCCAGAGATCCCCGAGTGAGACTCAAGAATTGGCGGAAGCAGATATACAGAATTTGGGGGCCGCTATCGTCAAAGCTGGGTTCACTGAAGGCGATGAACCGCAGATGCTGCTAAACATCCTACTGCAAGACCCTGCAGGGAAAAGGCTGTCTGTGACACTCCAAATCCTTTTTCTCTTCCCTTTTTTTCAAACGTTGACTAAGATATCGACCATTCTCACTAGGCAATGCTCTACTTATAGCGGTCATATTGCATTCAAGCAAGCCCTTGCCGCACTTCTGATTGCGATCTCACCCAAGCTGGAGTCACTTGCCTGCTACCACATCGGCGAGTACGACACCGCCGCTCCATGTTTCTGTCTTGTGACTCTGTTTCGTCGGGCAAATCGGACCTCCCTACGCTGCCTTACCTCCGAAATCTCCAGAAGTTCACCTTCCTCCCCGACCACGACTTGCCCGACAACGACGGACTGGACTACATTCTGGAGTCTTATTACCACCGCATCAACCTCGTGCGGCGGCTGCCGGCGCTTAAATCCGTCGCCTTCACGCTCGCGACATGGAACAACGAGGCCGGGGTTCCCTCCTCCCCCGAATTCTTCAATTTCAGGGAGCTAAGCTTCACGCACTCCATGATGCACGAAGCAGACCTATGCTGTCTCATCGGCGCCGCCAAGGCCCTGAGCAACTTCCGATATAAAATCGGCGGCCGGAGGCTTCCCGAGGGCGGGCAAGCAGACCGTGCATCTATCGCCAGTACTCAAAAGCCTGTGGCGGAATCGGCGTACCCTCGAGGGAGTTGATCTCGATGTCAAGGAGAATGTGTCGTGGGGGTGGGGAGGTTATGGGGCGGAGGGGGTAGAGCTTACTTTTGAGGAATTTTATTCAGTGTATGAGGAGGATGGGGATTAGGAGTATAAGGAGGCTTGGGCTGAGGAGCCGAAGACGCTGGATGTAAGGCTCGAGCCGCCGCCGGCGGATATCTCGCTGGCGGATTTTCCGAGGCTGAGGTGGCTGGGGTTGGGGCCGCATACGCTTTGCTTTTTGGCCAGGGGCATAGGCCCGAACCGCTGGAGAAAAGGTGGGAATGGAGGAGAGGCGTTCGCGCTGGGAGATCGGTTGCCTCGGTCTCTGGAGGTGTTGCGGGTGTATGGATGGGGAGAAGAAGACGGAAAAGAGGAGGATCCCTGGTTCAGGAGTCGGGTCGGGTTGCCGGATTTGGATGTCGACGCGGAACTGGGGAGGCTTGTGGCTGAGAGCCGTTGACGAAATTGACGGTGGAAGGGTTCGATCAAGTGATTCCCAGGGGGAGGGATGTTCCTGACTGGGCTGGGGAGGAGCATCCGTTTGTTTGGAGGGGGGGTTGATTAGGGTGGGTGGGCTTGTTGAGGTTATCACTTGGATGGTGGTATGGCGGTTGCGGAGTGTACCTTTAAAGCAGTTTGTGAGCAGGCTGTTTGATTACTTGTGATATATACTCTAAGCCTGGTTAACCGCCTTTATTGTTGGTTGTACAGTATATGTATATATATATATTGTAAGCAAGTGTCGACGTCCTCAAGGTTGATTTAGTATAAAGCTTCGGCCAATCGGCGTTCGTCAACTGTGGACAGGTCCTCATACTTCTGAAGTAGTAATGCGACGCGAATAAAGAGCTAGAGCCAAGATGTACATAATTTGCTGAAAGCACCTTCCAAACTGCCTTAGACAGTATACAAATTCTCTCTGGCCAGAGACCTACGCTACTTTGATTGTCAACAAATGGTTGGGAAGAAGGATTCCACCCACTCACTCCTTTTCTCGTTGGGGCCAACCATGTTACCAATATGCTTAGTCACGATCAGGACAGTCAACCTATCCTCCCGTCACGGGTCTAGATATATAGATCGATAGATACCTCGGTTCATGCCTAGCCACTAGTTATTATACTATACCAACCCATAAACATACATACCCATCAAGCAAACCCAACCCTAGACCTCCTCACCCATTCCTTTCTTCGAAAATCCAAATCCCCCCAAAATGACAACAAAAGGCAGCTGCTTCTGCACCGCCATCCGCATCGAATGCACCAGCCCGCCCCTCACCACGGCAAGTTTTACCTGTCCTACCCTTACCCTTACAGCAATCCCACCCAACCCAATAAACCCAATCCTAATGCAAACAATGTGAGCCCGCAACAGGGCCTCTGCCACTGCCACGACTGCCGCAAACTCACGGGCTCCGCCTACTCGCACAGCGTCCTCGTGCCCACCGGTGCCTTCCGGGTGGTCGCCGGCACGCCCAAGGCCGTGGCCAAAACGGCCGATAGTGGGAATGCGGTGCGGAATTACTTTTGTGGGGATTGTGGTTTGTCTCCCCCACCCTTCCTTTTGGTCTCTTCTTCTGGTTTGGGTATGGGGGTGGGTTAGGGTTTGGGGGTAGAGATAGTCGTAGTCGACAGTCTGGGGAGGGTTAGGCTAACGTATCTGGCGGGTAGGATCACCGCTGTACGGACACAAGATCAATGCTGATGGGCGGCCGGCGGAGGTGACGGTTGTGAGGGCGGGGGTGCTGGATGATGCCGAGGTGTTGGAGAGGAGGCCCGACGCGGAGTTGTTTACGGGGAGGCGGTTGGGGTGGGTTGGGGCGGTGGAGGGGGCCGGGCAGGTTTGTGGGATGTTGGATTTTTCTTAGTTGTTTACTTGGGTATTCTTGAATGTAGATGTGTGGGTTGTAGGGAGGGTGGAGTTTGGATTTCGGGGCATGGAAGGATTGTACAGTAACTAGTTGGTTGGTGGTGTAATGCACCTTGACATCGCTGTGGTTAATTAAAATCGAAGTAAGTCATGTCTAACCAGATGCTCTAAGTCAGGACTATTGTAGCTCGAAATCAACGCTCTAGGTTTGTACAAAAGACTGCCCGCGTCTATCCATACTTTCCGAGTCTCAAGCCAATCATCCCATGCAAAAGAAAAAAACTTACTACCGTCGAGATCGGGCTATTCGGGCTGCATCATCCTCGCTGTCACTGTCCATCTGGTCCAGCATCCGGTCAATTTCGTCGCCCGCCTGGGCTTCTAACCCCGTGACTTCCTCGGCCGACCTGGCGCGTGGCTGACCATGACTATGGCTACTATTAGGCCGGCTCCACGGTACGCGCAGACTCGACTCCTGCGACCCTTGGCTGCTCCGCGGGACGTTCTGGTGCCGATGAGGCCGCCGGGAATGCTGCGAGTGGGTCGAGTGGTACCCCGAGTGGCCGGGGCTGGACATGAATAGCAGCGTCTCGATCGCGTCCTGCTCCATTGCGCTACTCCGGGCGCGGTCGTGCTGCTCATCCGCCACGCCACCATGGCGCGCGGAGGGCATAGCGCCGAACGGTTGGAGCGGAGGCGTCCCTGGTACTAGGATGGTGTCTGAGTTTGCGCTGGACTGGGACAGGCCCACGTCCTGGTGGGAATGATGTCTGCGATGAGTGAAGGTGGGCGGGCTGATGAGCTCGTTTGGATTCGGACGTCGACGTCGGTTGCCGTGACTGCCTCCCTTAGAGATGATATCTACAGGCGGGGCGAGTTTTGGACGACTAGAGTGGTCTATATGAGAATGAGAATGATGATGATGATGGTAGTTATGATGACTCCTCGAAAATCCCGCATGAGGAGATGCAGCAGCCTCCGACCAAGCCGCTGGGGAGAGCCGCGCCGACCCAACGAGCCGGTTGAACCCAGCCGTGCCATACATGTCCGGCGACGACATCGTCGTGCTGGCAGGCGAGCCCAATCCCTCTGGGTGTTGTGCGTCGACCTGGTCGAGATAGGCGAGCTGCCCCGATCGCACCAGCGAGTCAATGCGCGCCGTCGGCGGGAGGTCCTGGGCCTTCTGCATCTGTCGGCTCTTCTCAATCTTGGCCGCCGCATACGAAAGGCGAGTGCGCAGGTGCACTGACAACTGAACTCATATCAGCAACCCACAGCACCCCACCAAAAGTAGAAGGGAAAAATTACCGCTGCGATTCGGCTTTCGCGGGAGAGCGACCCGATACTGCTTGACCGGAGCCTCTCCACCCCTCTTTCCCCCGTCTTCGACGTCTCCGCAGGAGACGCAGCAAACCCTGTCGCACGCTGCTTCCCCGGCGAGCCCTTTCCAGAAGGACTGTGCGATAGCGAGAATGGTCGGGGCGTGGCCTGCTGCCCCGCGATCGCTTCCTCGATGCTCAGCTGTCTGCCTCCCGACACGGACCGGACCGAATTGGATACCTTCGACGGCTGCGACACAACTGATGAAGTTCCCCGTGAATCCGACACTTGTGACGAGGAGAACGAGGAACTGTGTCTATCATCGTCATACAACGGGAACTCAGGTGTCGGTGTCAAGTGGGCTGTGGTCGGGCCCAGCAGCGAGGATGGATCCGTCGACGACGAAGACCCCCGCGCAGAATCTCCTTGCAATTCGGGGTTATTGGCAGTCTTACTGAAACTCAAACCACCGTCGTGTCTGCCACCCCTTGCATCATGCCGAGAGTCAATCTGTCGCGACGAAGAAGACTGCGCGGAGTGCACGTGGTGGCGCGTATCCAGGCGCGGCGCTCCGCTGCTCATGTTGGGCCCGGACTATAGAAAAGCGGGCAGAGCCACGAAAAGAGGACCGACTGACTGACTGACTGACTGTAATAATGCAGTATGTTTTCTTTGTCTGGTAATGTCTTGGGAGCAGACGATATGTTTTTTACGGGGGAAGCAGGGCAGATATGATGAACTTTCCTTCCCATATCCCCAGAATGAGGGCAATCAGACTTGGAAATCGCTGAAGTCGCAGAAAGTCCGCATAAACTGATGTGTCTTATTCGCCGTTTGACTTCCCGGATTTCCAGCGTCGCGGATATTTTTGGCGCGGGAATGTCCCGCAGCCCGACCCAGTCAATCAGCCAATCCACTCTGACTGACACACTCAGTGTACTCGAGTTCCACACGGTCCTAAGTCCTCACTCGGGGCGGGATGTGTACTGGGTTCGTGGCTGTCCTGCAAGGAGGCAGATGTTGTGGAATCTTCGGACGGTCGCAGCAGGATGGCAGGCGATGCGGCCAGATGCAGCAAAGTCTCTCTCACACGTCTCTGACGGGAGCCTCAATCCGAACACCAGGTCGAACGGCCGAAGGAGGACGACTCGAGGGGTAGAAGGTAGAGAAAGGCCATAAGAGAGTGATCGCGGCTTGCTGATTAGATCAATTGACAAACAGGTCAACAATCTATCAAGCTTGTCCATGGGGGAAAACACAGGGACTCCCGACTCGCAGACGCCAGGCGACGACAAGTCGGAGGGCGACGCGTTCACAGCGCAGTCACGTGGTGATAACTGTAAGTGGATGCCTCGAAGGCCAGGCACCAAAGCCGGAGGATCTACAACACCACCACCAACGAAAAAAACGTCTTGATCCAAAATGACACCAAGTCAATCTATTTCTTCCTGGTATAGAGCAAGCATCAATCCCAAGAACAAGTAACAGTGAGTATATGTTCAACCATGTCAGAGGAGAAATAGGGTCCAAGCAACAAAACTCAACGCCATCCATCCCATGCAGCATGCACATAGATACACATGGACATTATTCACAGAAGCAACTTTTGATATAAAATCGGTAAATAACCTGACCCTGAAAAAGAGCAACTAGGGGCTCTACCTGCGCTTCTTGCCACCGCCACCCCCTTCTCCGTCTTGGGCCTTCCGCTTCTTACCTTCGCGACGCCAGTAGTCATCGCGCTCTCGCTTCTCACGCTCCGCCTTCTTCTCCAGACCCTCGGCCACCTTGGCGCGGTACACCTTACGGCGCTCCTCCTGCTTCGCCGCGCGCTTGGCCTGCTTCTCGTTGCGCATGGTGTTGAGCTTCTGCATGAGGTCGCGCGCCTTCTTCTCCTCGCCCCCGAGGACCACCGCCCGCTTCTGCATGTAGGTCTTGTCCTTGTGGTGCTTCATCTTGGTGATCTGCGACTTGAAGGGCAGGTCCGTGGCCAGCTGGCGCGGCACACGCAGCGGGTTGAAGTGGCGCTCGGGGCGCTCGATCTTGCGGTACGCCGAGTCCTTCTCGAGCGGGGTGGGGATGCCCTTCTCGCGGCGGACCTCGCCTGTGAGACGCATGCCGTGCCAGCCGCTGTCCGCCGCACCCTCCTCGGCCAGATCCAGCAGGTTGGTGACCGGGTTGTAGAAGCGGTGGGGCTTGATCGGGTACCAGGCCCGCAGGAAGACGATGTCGCTCATGAGGATCTTGTCCTCGAAGGTGGCACGGAAGTAGCCCTCGGGCTTGGCCAGCGCGCGCTTGATCTGACCGCGGATGCCGGAGACGGTGCGGATCGAGGCGCCCTCGAACTTGGCAATCTCCAGCGAGGAATTAAACATGTCCTTGATGAAGGCGGTGTTCTTGAAGATCTTGTAGGGAACACCCGTCAGCTTGAGCTTCTTCACGATCTCGGTGTGTTCGTCGACGTTCAGCACCACACCGGTGGCGGCGATGCGGAACCCAGGGGCCTTGTTGGAGAAGGATTGCAAGCAGCAGAAACCGGTGTTGGGCGCCACCAGCGGGCCGTAGAAGGTAGCGAAGCAGTGCATGTGTTCCGGGGTGTACTTGAGCATACGGTTGCGCGTCCGACTGTCGGAGGTGCTGTAGATCGGCAGGGACTGGAAGCGGCGCCAGCCGAGAGAGAAGATGAGGGGATCGCCGCTCTTGAGGATCTTCTTATGCCAGCGGTGGCGCTTGATGCGGATCTGGACATAGCCGAAGCGGTCCTCGGTGGGTGCCAGGCCACCCACAATGACGGGGTAACGAGGGTTAAACTTCGTGGCGAACTCGCAGGGCACCTTCTCGAGAACGATACGTGCATATGTGCCGGCCTTGAAACCTTCCGCTCGGGCGCGGGAGGCTGGGTCGAGTAGGTCAAACTCGGCGCGGTTGATGTCGAGCTGCTTCTGAAGCTTAGCCTTCTGCATGTCGTACCAGTCGTCCTCCCCGAACTCCTCATCCCCTCCACCATCCTTGCGCGAGTTATCCTTGGAGTTCGCGAATCCCTCGCGATCTTCTTCCTCGAAGCGAAGTCGTAGCTCTTCTTTCTTCTTCGCATTGCGCTCACGCTCCGCGTCCAGGTCGACGGGGCCCTCCTCTTTCTCACCCTCCTCTTTCTCACCCTCTTCGTCGTCGGAGAGACCGTTAAAAGCTTCGCCCGTTTCCAGGTCCTCGAATTCACCATCTCCTTCGTCGTCCGAGTCAAATGCATCGTCCACATCCGAATCATCATCGTCGCCGTCACCAGATAACTTGGCCGTGACGAATCTGCTTCTTAGGGATTCGATAAGCTCTTCATCCTGCCACTTCTCTTCCAGCTTGGCGTAGTCAAACTCAGGAATGTGACGGAACTCCTCCTCTTCCTTCTGCTCGGCGCCGGTCTTCTTGAAGAAGGTGTCCTCTTCCTCATCATTGTCCTGCTTGTCCTCATCCTCGTCCTCGTCTTCGTTCTCATCACGACCGCTCCATCGAGGCATCACGTCCTCGGGGGCAATGGAGTCGTCGTACAGCATCCGAGACAAATCAGTGATGCGGAATCTCGGGCGCTTCGAATGAAGGGACTTGGCATTAGCAAGCATGTTCTCTTTCCAGCGGGCATTCTCCTCATCGTCAGAGTCCTCTTCCTCGTCACTTTCCAGAATCTGGTCCTCCACGGATGAGATGGAGCCGAGATCAGAGTCGCTATCAGCGAATTCAAGGTCACCTTCGGTCTGGCGAGCATTGCCATTTTGCCTCTCCCTGAAGTTAGCTTCGAAATCTGCGGGTGCGGAAGCATCGATCTCTTCATCCTCGCTCAGATCCTCCAGTTCATCTTCATCCAGCTCTTCCGCGTCATCCTCATCTTCTGCGCTCTCGAAACCTTCGTCTTCATCGTCAACAACATCGGCATTGTTGTTCTCGCCGTCTAGGAATCGAGCGTGGCGCTTGTGCTTTCTTCCAGCAGCACCATCCTCCTCGTCTGCCTTCGCAATGGCTTCACCGCCACGGAAGAGGCGGACACCGCCGTCAGCTTCACCGAGAAGCTTGCGCTCACCCTGCAGGCCAACAACCAGTTGCTCGCCAAGACCGCGCTCCTCGTCATCGGACTCGTCCTCGTTTCGCTCAAAGTTCGAGGTCTTGACGTCAATGTAAACGGCATCCTTATCCACCAACACACCACCAACATCAGACATGGGCGCGAATAAGAGCTTTTGCTTATCCCCCAATCGGCGCCGGCTGGTCTTGCCATTGGCTTTTGCAGCCTGCTGCTCAAAGAAGGGTGTCGGGCATGGATCCGGCAGAGACTCGATGCCGGAGACCGTCAAATCACCGACTCCCGGAACGTGCACCCGCGCTCCCTGAGCCGCGAAGTTGGTCCCACGCAGGTAACCGTAAAGAGCTATCGTTCTATCACATTTCGGGTCCTCCTCAATCTGGGTGGGTGGCGTGATATCCAAGAAGCGATCTGCGAGGGCGTAGGGGTGGGAGTTACGCCATACGAGGGGTCGAGGGTTCTTCATAACGGACAGGAAGCGGGAGAGATTGTGGACTTCGCGATCGGGGTAACGACCGTTGACGACTCCGGAGAGGTAGAAGAGCTTGGCGCCATTGTAGAGTTCGCTCCAGAAACGGTGCTTAAGGCGCTTCTTGGCGGCCTGCAGAGTGCTCTGCTTCTTGAAAAGGTCGAGATGGGTCAGGATACCGAAGACGTTACCGGGCATACCGTGGGAGCCAAGGACGTTCAGGAATTCCATGGTCTCCATCTCGAATCCATAGTTACCGTCGATCATCAACAGCACGATATCGGCGATCTTGGCGACGTCGATCATGCTGGCTAGGGAATCGGAGGGCGATTCGAGGAAAGTGAGACGGCGTTTCTTCGACGTGACTACAGTCAAGGGGCCTTTCGGTGTGCTGAGGGTCTGCTTCGTGTAGCGACGGATGAGGGACTTGATAAGGGTCGTCTTGCCCACCTAGATCCAGACTGTTAGAACTTCCTATTCCTGGGTCTCCGCATGTGAAATCCCGCTGGGATACTTACTCCAGGTGGTCCGACGACGGCAACAATGAGAGGAGGTGCCTCTTCAGGCAGGCGATCCACGAGGGGCACATGAAGCCTCTTTTCTTTGATCTAGACAAGTGAGGTTGCAAGGTCAGTGGCGTTGTCAAAAGTTGTATCGTTGCGGAGGGTGGGTAGCGCATACATCGTGCGATCTCGCGCCGGCCTTGTTCAATTTGCCGGGATTCGAGAAGGCAAAAGCTTTAGGATTCGGTCCTGTGAAAGTGACTTCTGTCAGCTACCTGATCACGTTGAAAGGACGATATTGTGGCAAGCCGATAACTTCATCACGGAGGCATGCGCAGGAAGATCCATTACATACCATCATACTTTTTCTTCTCCTTGGTGGCTCGATGCGACCTGTTGGATTGCTGCTCCATTGTGGGAAAAGTCAGAGGTCTAGAAGACCTCTAGAGTAAAATCCTTTCCCCGCTTGATTCGAAGCCGTGACGCAGCCAAAAAAGTTGAGCGCAAATCTGCAAGACTGCTCCGAATGTCTTTAGAAAGCTTGGCTACCAAAATTATTATTCCCATTTTCTTTTGCCGGAAGAAGCTTTTCTCCGAGTCCCGGGATCTCTCCCGCCTGGAGCACACCAGCGGGCGGTAGTCACCAGCAGAAAACTGCGCCAGGCAACCATTCAGGCTGGGAACTTTTTTATGACTAATTGATGAGTTATCGATAAACTGCCCCCCACTTATCGTCCGGCCCGGGCGAGATTCGATAAGGTCTAAACCCCACTATGTCGGCCCGGTGTCTCGTCGTCGCCATTGCCGGAAGAGGTCACGACTGTGAGATATGAGCGGGGTAGTATGGGGTCGAATACGATGGGTCATACTCAAGTACGACTAGGAGTGCGATTATCGGCATAGGTCCCAGGGCCACGATGCATTTAATGGCGCCGGGTTCCTTTTCCCGAGGTTGTTTTCTAAGTCAGAATCCTAATTCCTAAATATTGGTTGCATATCCCAGGGCTTTCGTTCCCATTACAAACTCAAGTAGATCCAGAGGAAGAAGCACCCGCGAAATATGGCTCCTGCACGTCGCCCACCGCCCGCATACACGGCTCCCCCAGACTCAGGGGTCCATGCGATCTCGCAAGTCTACAGATCCATCTCCAACACGGCCAACGATCCCTCCCAGCGCGTCCTCGAGTCATCCTTCACGATCCGACCATGCTCCGGGCAAGCGTGGGTGGTCCCCGCCGGCCACATCTGCCGTCTCACCACCCCGAAGGGGCCACAGGTGGGTGATCTGAACATCTGGAACGCGAACAACCCCCGGGAGCGACTGTGGGCTGCACGTACCCGCCAGATCCATGCCTCCCACGTGTCCGTGGGCGACCGGCTCTGGTCCAACCTGCCGTACCTACGTCCCCTGGTCTCCATCACCGGAGACTCGCTCGCCGGCGGCCAGCTCCATGAAATCCTGGACGAAGAGGGCAAGAAGAAAGAAGGGAAGGGCTTTGGGACCACGCAGTTCGGCGGACGCGTGCACGACCTCCTGGGCACTCGCTGCGACCCTTACGTCAACCTCGTCATGGGCGGCGAGAGCTTCGACTTCCACTGCCATTCGAACCTGACCCGGGCGGTGGTGCCGTATGGGCTGACCGAGCTCGATGTGCACGATGTGCTCAACGTGTTTCAGGTGACGGGACTGGACGAGCAGGGCAAATACTTCATGGAGACTTCGCCGGCCAAAGCGGGGGAGTATTTTGAGTTTTTCGCGGAGGTGGATGTTTTGTGTGCGCTTTCCGCGTGCCCTGGAGGTAAGTGAGAGTCTCTAGTAGGGGGTAGATTGTAACACAGCTAATGAGGCTCCGCAGGCGACTTGTCGGAATGGGGCTGGGAGGAGAAGGCGGACATGGGGGCTACAACTCGTCCTTTGGGGGTGGAAGTATACAAGCTCGCGGACGCGACGGTGTTAGAAGGATGGAACGCACCCCAGAGTCCCAAATATCTGGGCGCACATGGCATGAAGATGCCACAGAGGGAGGATGATGGAACGGGGTATGTTGGACTGTAACAGGGAAATCAGGTCTCTGCAGCTTAGATTATCGCTCTGTACGTTTAGTAGTGTAATGCTTCCCAATTTGCACACAGAAATGAAACTGATAGATGCGGCATCCAAATCGCATAGTTTACAATTGATCTAATTTGATTTGTTCAAGCGTTCGACGACACCAAGGATTGAGGAACGGGTGTGGCCAGGACGACCACTCCCGCCCACGGAATTGATATCAGACACGGTTCATTGACCTCGAATATCCCTGCACAGTGATACCTCGCTCTGGAGCTTTGAGCAAGTCGGAGTGAGAGTTCGATCCCATGTGCCACGATGCTTGTCCAGCTTATCGCGCGGGGCCGGGGAGCCATTGGTGTCAACAAATCCCGCACCGAGAGGATCGAGAGAGCAGCGCTGGCCATGAAAAATGCCTCGTACAAGAGAACGCTCAGCTAGCTATCCTGCTTATCTTTGCTTTATATTTCTTCGATCAAAAGAGAAAAAAAAAATCTGCAGAGATAAGGATACGAATGGTAGGATAATTGCAATTTGTCGATGTCGAGAGATCCCGTCGCGACAGGCCTGTCATCGAAAAAAGTGTCTGGAACCATGGAATCGCTACTACCGCTGACTTTGAGGCTGAAACGAGTGATACAAATACCAGGAGCCCGGCCATACGCTTGACCATGTTTGCCATTCAGCTGATGCAACTACTCCTCCGAACCCGAAGTTTTGACTGTTGTATGATTGTGCTTGTTCGGATGTTCTCTATTCTCTAACATTCGCCGAGCGGTTCCCGGGCTGTCACTATCTCACACTATCAGCATGGACTCAGAATCTGAGGCTGAGAGGGCGCCTACTGTAGGCGAGAAGGTCTACAAAGAGCCTTCGCAGCCGTACGAGACGATTTATAATGTTCGTCCTTGGAACAATTGTCTCAATCAGTCTGAGAAGAGAGCGAGCACGGTCGAGGAGCATGATGATGACCCCGGCCTACGCAAGCCAGGCGATTATAAGCAGAAGCAGGTATTGTTGACGTCCTTGTGGTCATTGAGGCTGGTCAAAGTTGACGCGAGCAGGTGTTCAAAGGCAAGATGCTTCTGTGGCTCGCATATCAGTCCATCGGTGTGATTTATGGTGATATCGGGACCAGTCCGCTTTATGTCTATTCATCGACATTCAACGCGCCACCTTCGCGAGAAGATCTCATCGGCGTCCTCTCCATTATCATATGGTCCTTGATTTTGATGGTGACTGTCAAGTACATCTTCATTGTGCTCCATGCTGATAACGACGGCGAGGGTGGTACATTCAGCACGTACTCTCTACTCAGTCGCTATGTTAGTTCGTCATCTTCAAGACATGTCAGGTACTGGACTAACATGCTGGCTTTAGATGAATATAACCCATCGCGATCCTCGAGAAGCCTCGCTTGTCCAGATGAAAAGACACCTGTCGAACGATCTTGAAAGAGCCAGCAGATACGCCAGACATAGCCTCGAGACAAGCAAGTTTGCAAGGCATCTTCTGAAAGTGGTGGGCGTATTGGCGGTTACAATGGTCCTGGCCGATGGCCTTCTCACCCCAGCTCAGTCCGTCCTAGGAGCCGTGCAGGGCATTGAGATCGTCTCCCCCAACATTTCCAAAGGCACCGTCATCGGCGTGACCGATGCTATCTTGGTCGTATTGTTTCTGATACAACCGCTTGGCATCACAAAGATGACGTTTGCATTTGCGCCAATCGTGATTATCTGGCTGGGGTTCAATGCTGTGTTTGGCATCTACAACCTCGCGCATTATGATGCTGGTGTCTTCATTGCCTTCAACCCGGGTTACGCCTTCACCTTCCTGGTCCGACATGGCGAGTCTGGGTGGCGCATGCTGAGCGGAACCTTGCTCGCCTTCACTGGGGTTGAGGCTCTCTTCGCCGACTTGGGCGCTTTCAGTCGGAAAGCAATTCAGATCAGCTGGCTGTGCTACACCTTTCCCTGTCTCCTGTTGGCGTACATAGGGCAGGCGGCATACATCAGTGTGCACCCGGAAGCCTACTCTAACCCGTTCTATAAAGCAGCGCCGCCGGGTACTATTTATCCAGCCTTGATTATTGCCATTCTCGCGGCGATCGTTGCATCGCAGGCCATTATCACTGCAACTTTCCAGGTATGGGACTCTTCTCTTGTTGATGACAATGATTGTGATGCATGTTCTGATGCAACAGCAGCTTCTGGCACAAGTGATGAAGCTATCCTACTTTCCCCAGATCAAAGTGGTACACACGTCCGATGTGTTCCACGGTCAGCTCTATATTCCGATTGTCAACTGGCTCTTGATGGTTGGGACGATCCTGGTAGCGTCGATCTACAATAACGTATGTTACCTCTCTAATCTGCTATGGCTCTTTTCTCTGACGCAACGCAGACCACATCCCTTGGAAATGCATACGGTGTCTGTGTCATCTTTGTCACGTTCTTTGACACCTGTATGGTCTCGATGGTAGCAATATTCGTGTGGCGCATCAGCCCATTCATTGTCTTCATGCCTTGGCTGGCGATCGCTTGTTTTGATGGGGCATATCTTTCATCAGCACTCACGAAGGTTCCTACAGGTGCATGGTTCACTCTAGCGCTAGCGACCATTCTAGCACTCGTGTTCCTATTATGGAGGTTTGGGAAAGAGCAGCAGTGGTTTGCCGAGGCTGAGGATCGGTTCCCTACCTCACATTTCGTGAACAAAGATCCAGATGGTAGGATGCGTCTCACCGACCGCTTCAACGCAGTCCCTTTGAGCACCAACCCCGGGGTCGGGATCTTCTTCGACAAGGCAGGCGAGACCACCCCCATCGTATTCAGTCAATTCGTCCTCAAGCTCACCTCTATACCGGAAGTAATTGTGTTCTTCCACCTGCGACCCCTTGAGACGCCATCAGTCCCCGTGGAAGACAGGTATACCGTTTCGCGGCTCGCCATCCCCAACTGCTATCGGCTTGTGGTCCGTTACGGCTACAATGATGAGATCATGACTCCGAATCTAGCCAGTACCATCACGGATCAGGTCCGCAGATACCTTATCGATAACGGGCATGGCATGGAGCTGGATGGAGTCGCAATGAGTGCACATCGATCTCCGAGCACGGAAAGTCAAGGAGAAAGTGGCTCGGAGGCAGCACAGTCCAGCAGCCTGGTCCGATATAGTTACCCGTTGAACAAGCTCGAGCGCGCATGTGCGCATAACATCCTCTATATCACTGGTAAGGAGCAGATGAGGATCAAGAAAGGCACCAACTTGTTCCGTGGTCTGGTGCTGTGGATCTTCTTGTGGATCAGAGATAACACCAGGGCCAAGATTGCATCTTTGGGTCTCGAAGCGGAACGGGTGATAGAAGTTGGGTTTTTGAAGGATATCTGAGGCTGCGTAGAGTGGTTGATTACCAATAGGAAGTGAACCAAGGTAATGGGGAATATCACGACAGACTGTACAGAGATCACGAATCAACGAATCATAGGCACGAACGACACTGATGTCCAGTATTGAATTCATGCTTGATGTCTCGGAGTTCGCGAGTAGTATAGTATGTCAGAACAAGTTTTTCTGACAGACTGATCTACCGGAGGGGTCCCTTGTCGTCACTGTGCATGAGATGGGATAAGATCGTTGATCCTCACGAGAGATCCCAATTGGGACAAAGGCGTTGAGCTCGGCTGAGCCGAGGGGCTTTGAACCAGGTGTCCACGTGACCCTCCGATAGCGTCATCGCGCATGCGTCATGGCTTTTCTGGTGGGGGATAAACAACCGTCTTATCGCAATGGGTGACTTCACTCCGCTTGTAGCCTGATCAGTAGTAGACTTGACAATTAGGATAACTTAAAGTTGACCAAGTGACACACATGCTGTCAGACATGGCGCAAGTAGTAAGAAAGGGAAAGAAAAAAAAACGAATGCCCCTCCCCCTCTTACCTGTAAAGTCGACTAGTTAGTGGCTGTAACCAACACCACCACCACCATCATTCCTACCATCACCCCCTTATCAGCCGTGCGGGCAACGGGCAACTTCCCTCCCCCCGCAGAAAGGGTTGCCTATTCAGACTAGAACCACGCAACAGAGTATAAAACCTTCTCTCGTCCCACCCCCCCGGGCACCGCTTTTCTTCCCTCTATCCACTTTCCATAAACCACTCCCCCATCCAGCCATCATTCTCACTAGATTTTCACGGCTCTCTGCCTTTCATTACACTGCAACCAAAATGCCTCTTTACAACGTTCGTTGCGCTCCACTTCCCCGCTGATCCCTCCCCCCTATTCGGAAACACTAACCATTGTTTCAGGTCACCCTGAAGAAGGACTCTCCCCCCGAGGAGTTGGAGAAGTAAGCGATCCCCTGCCTTGTTCAGTGACTTCCTGTATGAACACAAGCTAACATCCTCTTCTCTTGTCATCAGGGCCAAGCAGCAGGCCACCGAGAAGGGCGGCACCATCAAGCACGAGTACTCTCTCATCAAGGGCTTCACGTAAGGCAGCCACACCCACCCTCCCGCTACCCAGCTACTCCACTCCGCACAACCCACACTTCCGAAACCACCTCGAGAAAGCAGACTAGCTGACGACTACGTTAGTGTTGAGTACCCCGAGGACAGCGTCCTCTCGCTCGAAGCCAACGAACACGTGCATGTCGAGCAGGACGGCGAGGTGCGCACTCAATAAACGCCCTCCGACTTTCCCTCTCACTGGACTTGCGGACCCAATGAAGGGAGATCAAAGGATGTGTGTCATGTACGAGTTATGAAATCATTATAGTTCACTGTAGAGCAAGGAGGCTTAGCATCATGAGTGTGAGGACCGGATTGTCCCGCTGTGCGGTGATTCCAAGCTGAGCACGGTGTTGTGTCGTTTGCTTCTTTTCTCTTTTTATTTTTTTATCAATGATAACATACATCGATTGCACTATATTTTTTTCCCCAGCGTAATGACTCTACAAGTCTTGTTGTTCGCAACCCTACCGTCCCTGGCCAGCCAGGATACAAGTCGCCAAGCCCTCTTCTGCAGCCACCGCGTGATAGTGCCGCTGATGTTAAATCTCAGTGTGATAATAATACAGTTTCTATACTGATATTTGACGATTTGCTGTGTATTTAGCAGTATATATATATATAACTAATCACAACAGAAAATGTCTAGCTATTGCTTAGCTGCTTCCACGAGTGGACCCCAGGAGAGTTGTACTCTGGCTGACCAGTGAAAAGCAAATTGCTAACAATTCAATTGCTATAGCCAATGCAGGTCTGCAAAATGGAAAAGGCGAGAACGACCACAGCATGCCTCGTCTGCCCAGTGCAGAATTATGGACATTTTCGAAAAACTATTCCTCTTCTTCTTCGCCATCAGAACAGTACAGAACTGGGTCGAAGATTTGCCCAAACGCGGGTTTGGGCGTAGAATTCGACTGAGTCTCTTTTCTTCTCTGTGCATGTATTCCCTTAACGGGGGGTGGTCGTCGGTGACAAAATTTACTGCTGTCTCCATTTGGCTTATCATGAAATTGTAAACAATGGCGAGGTCGCTCTCATCTTGCTGCAGTAAAGGTATCCCGTCTGACCTTCGCTTGTGGTAGCACATGGCTAACCAGGCGGATCAGCTGGAGTTCTGTATTGCTGAAGGCTTCCTTTCTTTTGACCTCAACGCATATGGCAACAAAAGTCTGAGAGGCCGCGGCCAGATTGCCCGAGCCTCCTCAGTCGTTCTTATATGTAAGGTAGCGAACACCAACACCAGAGTCGCCAATCACCACGCTGGTGATCTTGGTCACGCAGTCGGATGACGGATCTCAGGGCGTGATACGTGATATGTCAAGCTCGCTCGCGGGCCGTCACCAAAGGTGGTTTGCCCCCACCGCACAGAACGTAGTAACCTCTGTATTGTGGAGGAAAAGAGGCAGCCGTTCTTTCAAAGTAAGTGCATCACAATCCAGTCCTAGATTCGGGTCAAATAAGCCTTGCTGGTTGAGGAATTGTAAACCTGACACCTTTCCAGAGCGGATTAGCTGGTGGGATCTAAAAAACAGGAGGATCAAAACCTACCTTGCTGGTGGATCAGTAGCCATGATGCTACTCTATCACTCCTTTTTCCTTTTGTCTTTGGGGCTTAACGATCGACCGGGAGGGTAGAAGTAGGATATTAGTATCTGATTGTCTAGGCAGGTGGATGTTGGCAGGTGGGAAGTGGTAGGGAAGATAGTGGGAAAGATGGAGATGGAAGAAGGAGAGAAGGATGGGAGGAAGAGAGAACAAGTAGAAGGCAATATAGTATCTAGGTGAGTAAACGATAGAAACCCTGAATACGAATTCTATTGTGAATCTATAGATTCAGATAGTGGAAGGTGAATACATACCAGGTAGTTATCAACAGCCTTCCAGCCCAAGCAAGGGAAGCGTAGACTATCCACTCATATAGCAAGAACTAAGCATTAACATAGTACCCTATGTTATAATACAGTGGTTAGGAGATCGAGCTACACTTCTGCATGGTATCGGTTATAGGTACCAGTTTGAAATAGTAGTAATGATAGAGACAAGGCAATAGGAAGGCAAGTGGAGCATGCAATCAGGTATGACCGCCTGTTAGCGGTAATAAATGCACCGGGTCTCTTAGTAGCGACTGTGACCTTTTGCAGGGGGAACTAATCTTATTGTTACACTACATATGTCCTGATAGTAGCCTTGCAATTCCAGTAAACAGGCCGATGAGATGGACTATACGATTGGGAAGATAAGACATTATCGGCTATTTGCGGGGACAACTGGCTGCAAACCAGCATACCGCCTTTCGGCAGAATTTGCGGGAATCCCCGAATCCCCCAGCAGGGACGCAGTGAGGTCATTACTGGTAAGTTAACCTCCCCGATTTGATGCTGAAGGATGGCTACAAACCGTGATGACACTACCACGGGCTTTACAGATGCCGTCTGTGGGTGACAGACTCTTACGCACACAACTATGCACCCTTTCTAAGACACGCCCGTGGTCGGCGTCATCTCTCCGACACGTCTCAACCTCTCAACACCCCTTCGCATATGGGGCTAACGATGAAGTCGCACGTCTTGCAGCCAGTCGCCGACGGCCACTGACGCTGACAGACTTGCTCAAGTAAGTTGCCCTCTTGGATACTACAAATGCGAGATTGCATCGAAACTACAGCGCTGTAGATACTAATGCTGGCGTCTGCTTCAGACACGGAAGACCGCCGTTATCCAAGGATGCCCTCCTCGCCTCGGCCAACTTCACCCTGTCCCTGCTTCCAGCACGGCTGGCATCACGAATCGAAGCCCTCCGGAACCTCCCCTTCATCGTCGTTTCGAACCCCCATGTCACGCAGATCTACAACAACTACCTCCACTCACTCTCCACCCTCCTCCCTTACCAACAGCGCCAGGTTACTACCGTGGAAGAGCTGACCAAGTTCGCCGATGTCCTGGCCGACCTGGTGCACACACACACCAACACAATCCCGATCCTCGCGCGCGGGTTCCTCGAATGTCGCCGCTACATCGACCCCTCCGATGTCACCCGCTTCCTGGACACCCACCTCCGCGCCCGCATCGGCACCCGCCTCATCGCCGAGCAACACCTGGCGCTTCATTTCGCCTCGCAGCCAATCCGGGACAGCCACCACGAAACCAATGGACAACGAGAACCGCAATCATCCCCACCAGCCAAGGACGCTGCCGCGGCTCCGTCTAACTACATCGGAGTGATTGACACCGCCCTGCAACCGGCCCGGATTGTCAAGCTCTGCGAGGACTTCGTCGGCGAGATCTGCGAACTCAAATACGGCGTGCGGCCCCGGCTCGTCATCGGCGGCCAGCCGGACGCCTCGTTCGCGCACGTCCCGGTCCACGTGGAATACATCCTCACAGAGCTGTTGAAGAACGCCTTCCGCGCGACCGTCGAGTCCGGTAACGGCCACGAGCCCATCGAAGTTACCATCGCCGCCGCCCCGGACGTCCCCTCTTCCCATCATCACCACCATGATTCCCTCGCCAGAATGACCACGAAAGGCTGGCAGCAGCAACAACCACTGCAACCAGAACACCCGTACCCCCCACAATCCGAGGCAGACCTAGGCTTCGAAATGGACAACACCGTCGTCGGCACCGCCGACGCCAACGAATCCATCAAAGCCTGGACCACGCCGCCGTCCGCGCAGTGCATCACGATCCGCATTCGCGACCGCGGCGGCGGCATCCCTCCCGAAGTGCTGCCGAATATCTGGTCGTACAGCTTCACGACATTCTCCGAGTACGATGATCACAACGGGGGCTCAGAGAGCAACGAAGGCATGGAGGCGCTGAACACGATTGCGTCCACCAGTGGTGGAGGAGCGAATGGACACTTAAGCAGTATCGCCGGACTCGGGTACGGGCTGCCGTTGAGTCGTGCGTACGCGGAGTACTTTGGGGGCAGTATCGCCATCCAGAGTCTCTGGGGTTGGGGCACGGATGTGTATTTGACGTTGCAGGGGGTGGGGAACGTTTCGTGATTTGTCAGCTGTGCCTTTCGCAGGTTGCCTGGATGGTGAGGATAATGGGCGTGTTCACTCTTAATTGTTCTGAGGAACTTGGTTAGAGGTAGGTAGGTAGGTAGGTAGCTAGTTAGGATACTACGGTGTGATTTGAAGCTAGTTGGAGTCACCCTGCAAATGCTGTTTTTCTGGGTGAAGTTACCACTCTTGCCTAAGATCCTGGCGGTAGCTTACTAGACGGAGCAACAATCCTTTCACTACCAATCCAAAAGGAAGAAATAAGTAGAATAATGGAAGATTGTAGACCAGTCCCAGCGACCGTGTTGTCTGCTCAGCTGCCTGGTATTCATTCCCAGAGTCAAACCCACCTATAGAGTAGAGGAGACTTTTTCCCTGTTCTGGCCTTGTACACTCACCGTCCGTGATCAGACCTACGGGCAATATTTATACTCATACTGCACCCCGTGGATGTATATGGTTCTAGCTGGTCCTGGTAGTTAGTCAATCATGGACTAACGAGAAACTCGAGATAGAAGCTTCTCATATGTTTGTTTGCCTCTGTAAGCAATCCTTATGCAGGACCATCTGGTGCTTCTTATAGAGATCTAGCACTGAAACCGACCGAGGATAGTTCGGGAGCTCCGCTCAGCCATGGGAGTCAGAAATTTGACTGGCCTCGACTTTTACCCAAACAAGTAATGACACCCCGAACCACCACCTCGAGACACTTGTAATCATCTCTTGTATACTCCGCACAGAGCCATGTAAACCAAAGCCTCCTCAGGCCCGAAAAGGCCAGACCCAACACGAACTACGTCCACTCCTTCTCTACTGTTGGAGAAATACCTTTCAGAAGAATGGCTATTGGCCTGGTCTATTGACTATGCGATGTATGGCAGGGCGAGAAAATACAAGTTTGACTTGGAGCCTCGAATAAGGTTTCAGTACACCCGGAACATGGCCCCGCGCGAAATTGCAGCTTCTTGTTCACATTAGCATATACAGGTCAACAGAGTATATACACCAGAAAAGATCCGAAATTAGACAATGAGGTAGATATCAAGAAGATGTCGTAGGGTAATAGCAAGTATAGGTTTAATCAAAATCCTCCTGCACCACGCACACGTTGAACAGCGCCAACCACGCCCTTCGCCCAGCTGAAGCGACCAGGATCAGTGCCAATGGATCCCTCAGGAATCTCATTGGTGGTGGGATCATGCCAGCAGCCATCTTCCGGGCTGACTGCGCCGTACAGAGCCGTGTTCTGGTTGCGGTCAATAGCCTCCCTCCATGCTCGGCAGACAATCGGTGAGTCGAGAAGGAGGTTCACTTCTTGGCTGTGGTAGAAGGACTGTGTGTCGAGGTTGCCGTTTCCTATATGATGATGTTAGATCACAAATAACTCACGGTCGCAACACAAAAACGTCT